AGTAACTGTGGGGAAAGCTAGAACGGACATGTGTCTTATCAGATTTGTTTTGTTTTCGTTTTTTGAGACACGGTTTCCCTGTAGCCCCAGCCAGTTTGGAACTCACTATGGAGACCAGACTGCCCTCAATCTCACAAAGATCTATCTACCTGTTCAGAATTTTGAATATGTAATAAAATTATAATTACTTGAGTGTGATGCTGATCATACTTTTGTTGTCTAAAAACAAATTCCAATACAAGATTCTATGACAGAAGCACCTGTATCAATGAAGAAAGAATTCAATCCCTCAATCACCTTAGAGAAAATTATTCGGAACACACTTTAATCTTTAGCTCAATGTCATTTAAAAATTAGTAAAATAATTTTTACTACAGGCATGGTGGTACACGCCTGTAGTCCCAGCACTTGGGAGGCAGAGGCAGGCAGATATTTGTGAGTTCAAGGCCAGCCTGGTCTACATCGTGAGTTCCAGGACAGCTGGGGCTACAGGGAGACCTTGTCTCAAAAAGACAAAAAAAAAAAAGTAAAATAGAGGCAAGGGTGTGGCTCAGTGGTAGAGTGTGGGCCCAGCACAAGCAAGAACCTGGAGTTAACCCCAGCAACAAAACCTTAAGCTGACTTAAAATGGTAAAATGTGTATTTTACCATAATTGTTTTTTAAGAAACACTGATACATAAGCGTTATTCCGACATAAGAAGTACTATAAAAACCCACCACCTATGTATTGTTCCTCTCTTTAAAAAAAAAAAAAAACAAAAAAAACACTGAATCTAGTCATAAAGAAACCCAAAACTCCAAATTGAGAATAATTCTAAAACACTGGGCTTTCAAAAATGTTAATGCCATGAAATCAAACACACACACACACACGCACACGCACACGCACATGCACACACACACAGAAACACAGGCACTGTTCTAGACTAGGAGACTGAACAGACAAAACAACCAAAGGCAATCTGCCTCAACTGAACAGGGCGAGGCAAATCGATGAGAAACTAACTGGTGAATATGGACTTTAAATATTACATTTCCTGCACTATTATATCATGTAGTTATGTAGGAGGGAAAAATCTTTGTTACTGAGAAATATATGCTAAAGAATTTAAGAGGAAAGTGTCATGATGCTTCCATCAAACTCTCAAGTGCTTCCAGAGAAAGAGGCCAGTGAGAGAGAATAGGCACCAAAGGTAACGAAGGCAACACTTGACAACTGCGCAAAGGTATGCGGTCTTCAATGTGCTAAGCTTGTACCTTCCACACAGCTTGTGAAATGTCTCAGCATAGAAGGCTGATGAGAAGTGGCAGTCTGCACAGCAGGATTGGGAGTGAAGAGAAACGAGAAATGACTGCTTTTTCTTTTTTCTAAGCCCAACTATCCATGGTTGGGCTTTGTCCACAATATATGTAAACTTACTTTAGTAAGACTTATAAAAATTTTGTTATATTTTAGACTCGAACACTTTGAGTTTAAACACATCCTTTTGCAGCCCATTATGGAGCCCAGGCTGGCCTCAACCTTGTGGCAATACTCTTGTCTCTGACTCCTAAGTGATGGGATTGAAGCATATGCCACCA